ATAAAAGATGAAATTGAGATGATTGATAATGAAAGATGAAGAGAGTATGATACGGATGAAATGTGTTGAGTTATGGACGAGCGTTCCGGGAAGGAATGACTCATGGTTGAATATTGGAATTGGTAAAGTATGAATGTGGACATACTAAGCTGGCAGTTCATCCTGATGTTCAGTGAGTACTCGACCTCACGTAGAGGAGGGTAGATCATGTGTGGGAACGACAGGAGGTCCTAGTCCTTAGGGATACTTTGGACAGATAGGACTAACCTCGGGTGGCAGCTGATGAGAGTATTCCAGTTCCTACATCACCCGGGTGCACGAACGTCGTAGCTACATAGATTTCATACCGTCCGGGCAATCAGTCTAGTATTAGGCTTTGAATGAATCGTATGATGAAATATATCTTGCGTATTTGATCGTGTGAAATGTATGTTTATACATGAATTAAATTACATAAGGTTACCCTATTTTCTGTCTTGTCATGTATTCTCGTTTGTTCGTCTTTGTCATTGCGATGATAGCTGTAATATTATTATATGTAATCATTCTATTATGTGGTTTTACACTGTATTCTTGGGATGTTATATTAGATAACGAATGGATTAAATTATTTATCTCAATAAATATACTATTTTTAAGCTAATTATTAGTGTATGAAATTCCACCTATATACTGACTTAAGTGAGCCACTAAATCATTTACTTAGACTGATGCAAATTTCGCTAACTTAAAAAATAGTAGCTTGTGATATTGAAAGAGGTCGGTGAGGTTGATTTAAAATTGGATAATACTCAGTAGTGTACAATACAAATATAATAATGAATGAAAATATTATTAATTTTTTATTTATTGTTTAAACCATATAATTATGAAATTTCTACAAAATCATGACATGTGGACATTATGAAAATTTCACTCCAAAAGGAACGTAAGGGATTACGTGGGCAGATGGGTGTTTGTAGCTTTGTACCGTAGCCGTTGTTTTCATTATAATTTGTTTCTTGCAGTTTCATAAACTTTGATTTGGTCCTTAACCGAAACCAATGCAAACACATAATTATTTTGTAATGTATTGATATGTGACTGAATCATAAGATATTATTAATTTACAGTAAAATAGCTACAATTTGATCAAATTAATCATACGAGCATTGTCCCAAGAAAAATATTAATAACGCGTTATTTTATTATATATTTTTATATAATTAATATATTTTAATATAATAAATATAATTCTATTTGAGTTTCATTCAAATGCTTAACTCAACATTATCACGTTAAGAAAATAAGTTACGTGTTGGTTATGCAACCACCTTACTTTAAAACATTATTAACCAAAACAATTTCTTAAAATATAAAAAAAAATTACTGCCAGATTCAAATAATTATTTAAAGACTAAACTTTTAGAACTCAAAATTGTCAACTCAACCAAGTTTTCATTGTCTTATATTAGAGAAAGACATCAACAGATGTACATCCTTTGAATTATGCTTATTCCCAAACAAATACGACTTAAAAGTGCTGAGTTTACGAGGTTTTGTCACTCGATAGAAGAATGTATAATATATAGTTATTGGACACAGTTTTGCTCGAAACCAAAACAAATTTCATGTTTAAACTATAAATATCATTAGTGATCTTCCAACAAGCCAGTCTTGGTGTCCAAATACATATATATATTTATTCAGTAGAATGGAAAGGCTAAGAAAAAGATGACAAACCGTTGATATAAAATTTGTTTAATCTGAGCTCTTTCAAGGACGGAAAGTGACAGGAATTAGTTGCAAATCATGTTTTCTACCAACGGATATTCCAAAAGCCTCAGTCATATCCAAATCTTCATTCTTAATTCCATTGGGAGCTTTCCAATCAAAATGGTACATTAACAATGCAAGAGGAAACTCAACAGTGGTCAAGCCAAATGTAAGGCCTGGGCACATTCTTCTTCCAGCTCCAAATGGAATATACTCAAAATTATTGCCTTTGTAGTCAACACCACTTTCAATGAACCTGTCTGGATAAAACCTCTCTGCCTCAGTCCAATGATTTGGGTCTCTTCCAATGGCCCAAGCATTGATAATGATCTTGCTTTTCGTTGGTATCTCATACCCTTTTATCTCACAAGCTTCTCCACACTCTCTTGGAAGTAGAAGGGGACCAGGAGGGTGCAGTCTCAATGTCTCTTTCACAACACATTTCAAATATTTTAGATTCTCCATGTCACTTTCATTAGGCTGTCCTTCTTTACCAAATACCTCTCTTACCTCAGCTTGTACCTTCTTCATTACTCTTGCATCTTTTATTATCTCTGCCATTGCCCATGTTATGGTAGTAGATGATGTCTCACTCCCCCCTCCATAGATATCCTAATTCAAATTCATCATATTATTCATCTGAATTTTATAGGAAACACTTGCAGGAATAATATTATTCTTTGCAATGGAAGAAGAAGCAAGAAAATTAAATGAAATTAGCCCAAGTTATAATGAATTAGTTCAGTACAACTGGATAGCTTAGGACTTGCTGTAAATTGGAGTGGTGTAAACTTAAACTTCATTGTACTAAACTCTTTGCTTTCGATATGCAAACTAATTTCTGCTAACAAGGAGAAGCCTCTCAGTTTTTTTATCATTTTTATTTCTTGTAAGTACTTATTATAGATAAATTTATCTATATACAACCTTGACCTATTCTTATTTGGAATTGTTAGTGTGAAGTAGAAACTTAGTTTTGGTTGTTGTTTGTGTAGATAAATTTTCTAATCACAGTTTGGAAGTTAACTAGCACACAGCAGCAATTTAATAAAACTAAGCACATAGGGAAAAGATCAGAATTGTTCATCATTGTCTACTATGAAAATAACATTGATGGGAGATGTAAATACTCTTACCAAAATCACCGCCTTGATACCATTGTCACTTAAGCCAAACTCATCCTTCATGAGCACATCTACAAGATCATCCTCCACTTGTTCACCCTGGCCTTGTGCAACACTTAACTTAGCCTCTCTGTGATCATCCACGATCCTCTGCATTATCTGATCAGTTTGTTGATGACACTGTTCAATCTTAGACTTCAACCCTGAGATGTTCTGAAGCCATCCGGCAGAAGGGTACAAATCTCCCAAGTCAAAACCTCCAGCAACCTCTGTGGCTTTCCTTACAGCTGATATGAACTTTTGATGGTCCCTATACTTGCTTCCAAGGGCTGTCCTTGCAACAATTGTAGATATTGTTTTAAGGATTTCTTTGGTGAGATTGATGGGTGACCCTTCTCTTGAAGCAATTCTTTTGATGAATTTAGTGAGCTCTTCCTCTCTGATTGGCTGGAAAGATTGGACACGTTTCGAGCTTAATAACTCCAACGCACAAATCTTCCTTAGCTGTCTCCAATAATCACCATAAGGAGAAAAAGCAATGCCCATAGAATCATAAGACATTATCTTTGAAGCTAGTATTGGAGGCCTTGATGCAAAGATAAGATCATGGGTTTTTAACACTTCTTTAGCACACTCTGCAGATGAAACCACAATGGTACAAACCTCTCCAAGCTTCAGATGCATCAAGGGTCCATATTTTGCTGATAAATCTCTCAGTCTACGATGGGGAAGTGAGCCAACGAGGTTGTGTATGTTCCCTATGATTGGTAGCTTCCACGGCCCTGGTGGCAAATTTGGAGTTGAGGCAGATTTCTTTGTTATTATTTTGTGTGCAATAAACATAAAAATGAGAATGGATATGAAGTAGAAGGTTTGAAGATCCATGTGGAAATAAAACTCAGATCAAGGTTTTTAGTTCTACCAAAGAAGTTTTTTTGCAATTCGTATACAGATTGTGGAACCTTCTTCGTCCATTATTGGGTATTAGTAATCTCTTGATTGCAGTATACTATGCATTTTTCTGATGTATTTAATTAATGAAACACCATTCAAAATAGACAAGAATGTTATCACAGCCAACAACTAGAAACAGATATATATTTTTATATACAAAATAGTGGTTGCAATAGTACATCAGTGACATACATTTGTTTTTGAAAACTCCTCAGCAAAATCATATGGCTTAAAAAATTGCAGAACCTTGGATAACTATTGTATTTTAGTGCAATCATTCTCATATATTTTATGAAACTTGGATTTGACAACAAATAATTAAGAAAATTACACTGAATTCCTAATTACACTCAATACCCCTTACCTGACTGATACACATTGCATCCTATGTCCCTCAGAACTAAGAAAACAAAGAGCATGAATATGAAAAGTATGAAGTATTATGAGACATCTATGTCTGAACTTTCCATTAATAGATCCTGTTGCACACATGATGTTATCTCTCAGCATATTGCCTCCAACCAAAAATTCATGAAGATCAGCTTCACCAGCTCAACCCTAGTGGCTATTAACTCATCCATTTGTTTGTTTTATGATAAAAGAGAAAGTAAAAGTATTAGAAGGTTGATAGAGGACAAGACAATAACTAAATCAACCTCTTCAGTTTCAAGGCACTGTGTTTGTTAATCGTCAGTACCTATCACTAAGAACAAAACTTTTAATTATGAAAGGACTCGTAATTGAGATATAGTGTGAAAAGATGTATTTATGAAACGTTTTTCATTCATTATGATCTTTTCGGAGTTTATGTTTCTATGATATGCTATGAATCTAACTCCGTCTCTATGGTTTTTGGAGTTTTTGTTTCTATGGAACTTTTTTTCATTGAATCAATCGCTAGTTGGAAAAAAAAAAACAGGCAGATATTTTTATTTTTATGCAATCTAAACATATTCAAACACACTTAAGTAACATAATAATAAAATACAATGCTTCATGACTCTAGGAACTACTACTGATCATGAAAATAATATAAAATCTTAAAAGCATCTACTGAACCAAAAATGACAGATTTTTATCTTCAGTTACTCAAAGATTAAAACTTCTAAAATGGCATCAAAGTGCACGATCTCAACATCACCAAGGGTTTGTTTCTTAATGTGAAATTCATGAGACAGGCAAAGGAAGATAAGGAAAAGCAAACAAGAGCAGATCATGCTTTCTTCTAACTGTGACTCCAAAGTCTTCACTCATGTCCAATTCTTCACTTATCATTCCACATGGAAGCCTCCAATCAAAGTGATACAGCAACATTGCAAGGGCCAGTTCCATAACTCTGGATGCAAATGTGATTCCAGGGCATATCCTTCTTCCAGCTCCAAAAGGAATGTACTCAAAATTATTCCCTTTGTAGTCAATACTGCTGTCAATGAATCTCTCGGGATGAAACCTCTCTGGTTCAGTCCAATAGTTTGAATCTCTTCCAATTGCCCAAGCATTGACAATGACCTTGCTTTTGGCAGGTATGTTATAGCCATGTATCTCACATGTTTGACCACATTCTCTTGGAAGCAAAAGAGGAGCTGGAGGGTGTAATCTCAAGGTCTCTTTCACAACTAGTTTCAAATATTTGAGTTCATTGATGCAATTTTCATCAACCCTTCCTTTCAATTTGAATACCTCTCTAACTTCAGCTTGTGCTTTTTTCATTACTCTTGAATTCTTCATCATTTCAGCCATCGCCCAATCTATGGTTGTTGATGATGTCTCACCGCCAGCACCAAAAATGTCCTTAAAAATAGTTTATCAACCAAAGAGGTTAAAACTAAATAATAAACAGACTGCATGCTTCTAGAGTTATTAGGCAAATGTTTCACTACTTAAGAGCTCTTACAAGTGGAAAATAAGATATCGAGGGAAAAAGTGTCCGACATTTAGAAAGTCTGAGCAATATTATTATGAGCATAAAATGTATTTGAAAGAGATTATAATCATTACCAGAATTATTGCCTTGATGTTGTTCCTTGTTAAAGAAAAATCCTGCTTGCTATCACCCTCATACTGCATGAGAACATCCACAAGATCTGTTGTTTCACTTTGGTGATCTTTGGCCTTAGACTTTGCCTCTTTATGCTCATTGATGATGTTTTCCATTATCTGATCAGCTTGTTGATGCAACCTCTCAAGCTTGTGCCTCATGCCAGTGACATGTTGCAGCCAAACAGCAGAAGGAAAGAAATCTCCAATGTCAAAACCTCCAGTAACTTTGATTATTTTTGTAGCCACTGATATAAAGTTTTCTTGGTCTTTGCTTTTCTTGCCAAAGGCAGACCTTGAAGCAATTGTATAAATTGATGAAAGAACAGCTTCAGTGAGGTTGATCAGTGATCCTTTCTGTGCATCTATCCATTTGATAAGATTGAAGAGCTCCTCTTCTCTGATTGGCTGGTATGAGTTAACACGTTTTAGGCTTAAAAGCTCCAACAAGCAAATTTTTCTTAACTGCCTCCAATAATGTCCATAAGGAGCAAAAGCTATGTCTGTGCAGTTGTAACAGATTACATCAATAGCTAGGACTTTAGGCCTTGTGGCAAAGTTAATATCATGGGTTTTCATCACTTCCTTAGCACACTCAGCGGATGAAATGACAATAGTAGAAACTTCTCCCAGTTGAAGATGCATCAAGGGTCCATATTTTAAGGCCAGGTCTCTTAATTTTCTATGGGGTTGAGAGAATAACAGAAAATGTATATTTCCTATAATAGGTAGTTTTCTAGGTCCATGGGGTATGTTACAAGGTGTGTCCTCAACTTTTTTCTTTGTGTTTCCTATTTTTCTCACTATGAAGACTAAGAAGAAAAAGAAGATAAGAGTTGAAAAATAGAGGACAAGTTCAGCCATGGAAGAGATACAGATTTCTAATGTCAATCTGATCGTCCTAGTGTCTGTTTATATACACATTATTCAGCATTTTACCATCGATTGATGTTAAATTTTCCTTTTGTTCTGGAGTGATCTTAGGTTTCTCCTGTATTGGGAATTTTTTATATGATTTCATTTATACTTTCATCAAATTTTGAAGCTATTTAAACAGTTACATATTAATAGTGTAAAGAAGAATAAAAGAATATTATAAATGTTTGGATTCCAAATCGATCTTAAAGATTACAATTCTATTGTGATTTTATTTTTAAAAGATTTAGAAGATATAAAAAAATTAAATTATTTATGTTAAAAATTCTGTATAACAAAATTAATTTATAATATATAACTAAAGATAAATATTAATAAATTGATTTTATGAAATTGAATTCAACTTAAAATTTACATAAACGAGATTTAATATTGGTTAAATATATTGTTTTCCGTATCAAACTTTTTTAATTTTAATGAATTTTTACATACAACGGATTTTTTTTATTTGGTTGGTGCCCCCATCTTCTAAGCGATGGCCAAATCGGATTTTTTTTATTTGGTTGGTGCCCCCATCTTCTAAGCGATGGCCAAATCTCTTAGTTTTCTGTGTGCAAGTCTCAATCCCATCACGGATTATGCTTATTGTTGTGTTATGTATTTGGTATGTTTTGTTTCGTGATAGATTTGTTTTCTTGGAAACAGGGATAGCAAAAAAATCTGTGTCCGCGAATATTCGCAAATAAAATTCGCGACGGATAGTTGGTACTGTGAATATTTATTATCCGCGGGTTGTAGGTAACGGATATTTTAATACCCGTTTATAAATGGGTCGGGTGCGGGTATTATACTATATATACTCGCGGATATTCGTTACCCGTAAAAAATAAAATAAAAAATTAATTTATATTTTATTAAGTTAAATTTAATTAAAATTAACATTAATTTATATTTTATAAGGTTAAATATAATTAAAATTAAATTTTAATTTATATTTAATTTAATATATATTATATTTTATATATTTTTTGTAATTTTATTTAAGTTTTCTTATAATATTTTATAAAAATAAATTTTTTTAAATATTTGCAGGTATCCGAGGGTATCCACGGATATCCGCAGGTATTTTTTAAGCGGGTATTTTTTAAGCGGGTATCCGTGCGGGTAACGGGTAGGTTTTTTTTCTGTCGGGTCGGGTTGCGAGTAGGCACTATCTGTATCCGACCCGACCCGTTGTCATCCCTACTTGGGAAGTATCTGCCATATTGTGTAAAATATCTTATGTTAGTGTTAAAATATCGACAAGTGTACCGAATCGTATCAAGTAATAATAAAATGGTAAGACGAAGTATCATTTTCGAAAGGACTGATGACACTAAACAATTATGTGATTACCCAACTAATTAAGACTTTTGAAGAACAATTCAGTGGTTTTGAATGCAAATGCTATAGAAATAAACATGAATGCAATTTTGACCAATTGAAAGAAAAACACAAAGGTGAATGGATGATTTTGAAAATATGAGATGAATATGTTGTTGGGTTTAGATTTCACCAAGTTTCCTCTCATGCATATATGAATTCATCTTCTTCATTAATGTTAATATCACTTTCTAAATTACTAAAAACCCGATGTATCAGAAAAGAAAAACTATCCTTAATTACTAGTTTACAATGTCTTGTCTCCCTAGCAATTAATTCTGCATTACATACGCACAAAAGCTTAAGATAACCAAAACTCATATCCCTATGTCTAGGCAATACTACTTTTGGAAGCAATTATCTAGATCTAGGTTTCCCCGTATGTGTCCATATCAAGAAAACCAATAATCATGCCATGAATGAGTTAAACATAACAAGCATTGAGCAAAGAAGAATAACCCTCACAATTAATGAAAGAAACATAAATAAATAAGAATCAATTCAAATACATGAGAGTTCACAAGGTTACATCATCCCCAAACAACAAAGAATGTTTAGTTCCCCATCGTCATGGAGAAGATGAACAATGGAATGAAAAAGATAGAAAAAACCCTAAAAACTGAAGAGGAGAGCTTCCGCACCCACTTCTGCCTTCATAGAGTAGGACAAAATCTGGATTTGTGTCAATTCTGTCAAGAGATGCCCTCTCTAGGTCGAGCTAATCCTTAAATAGGGTGAATTAGGCCATGGGCCAACGTTGCCACCGCTCAACGCCCCTACTTAGGGCGCTCAGGCGTGCTTGCCAGAGAATGACGCTCAACGTCCAATGGAGGGCGCTCAGGCGTGAAACGTTGCAGGAAAGATGGCGCTCAGCACCCCAAAAAGGGCACCCAGGCGTGACTGCGAAGCTCAAGCGCCGAGGGTCATGAAAGGGGCGCCCAAGCGTGAGTGCGACCTTCTGTAACCTTCTCTTCTGGTGCTCTTTCTATCCTTTATGAGTTCCAACTTCTTGACAACTTAACTCCTCTTCCAATTCATCCTAATTTCCTACAAAACCAAGGGGATTTATTAATAAAATCTTCAAGTGTAACCTTAACTCTCTTATTTCCCAAAATAAACCAAAATCAAGAGAACAAACAAGTTTCTAAGTCAAAAAGGGTTCATTTGATATCAAAATTTACTCTTAAATAACGGTGAAATCAACTGTAATCACAACCCCAAACTTGAAACTTTGCTTGTTCTCAAGCAAAACAAAATGTAACTCAGCCTAAACAACAATTCAATGGTTCAACATATCTCAAAACACTTTCTTTCAAGACAAGTAATCACCCACAACTGCTTATCATACAACTCGCAATCAAGATATATTGATGCACTGGTCAATCAACTTCACTATGGTTTATTTTGATCTACTATAAATATAAGATTTTGATATACTATAAATATAAGATTTTTTTCGGTATTAAATAATTAAAAATAAATTTCGTTAAACTTGTAAAAGTATACACAGGTGAAAATTTTAATTATATGTTAACTAATTCCTAATTTAGTAACATTGTAAAATAAATTTTATATATATATATATATATATATATATATATAAATCAATTAAAAACAGTCTAAACTTTAAGAATGTTCAATCTAGTGGTAATAACAACCTCCTTGAGTTAGGTTGGTTCAAAACTTAGAAGAATGTAAGGAGATGGTCCCTATGGTGGATATGGTTGCGAAAATTGGGTGGAAAAATGTGATATGTTGCGCAAATGGTGGTGGTTAGGGAGATAGCTCACTACTTTGTGGTGTGTAGTTTAATGGTTCAATAAAAGGTTAGACAAACTCCATGAGATAGGTGACTAGAAGGGCCTCTAGGGTTGTTTTATTCTTGATCAAGGAAGTTTATGCTACAATTTAGCAGCATAACATTACTTAATTCCAAGATGAAATACAAGGGCAGAGACACCTCTATTTATAGGCCAAGGGTGTCTCCTTCTAATCCTAAAATCATGATCTTCCTCCTTTGCTCTCATTGGCAAAAAAATGAGGCCTTCTAAGGAGTAGACAAGTGTTCATAAATCCTCTCCAATGATGGGAGGACATGTGACCACTCACAAAACACAATCCTATCCATTCCTTGAGTGTCATGTGGCCACTTCTAAAAAACAAATTCTCTCCAATGGAAGCATGACACATGGCACACACTTTCCACTTGATTTGGATGTCTAACTTAAGGAAAATCATATGCTACTTAGGCCTTAATACAAGCTTTAAACAAACATACTCTACATGGTTGAATATAATGACCTAGATATCCTACATTACTCTTCAATTCATGCTCCATGATGGCTCCAAAGGTTTCCCACAAGATAGAGTTGACATCATCTTCAAGGATGACTTTTACTCTCTTGATGATATTGTTGAAAGTCTCGTATCAACTAGATATAAAGTCAATTTAGAATATATATATATATATATATATATATATATATATATATGTGTGTGTGTGTGTGTGTGTGTGTGTGTGTGTGTGTGTGTGTGTGTGTGTGTGTGTGTGTGTGTGTGGGTGGGTGGGTGTAAACCTTGCTTTACAAACCAGTTTGTCTTATTGGATTGAATTAGGCTTAAAGTCCACTTCTTAACATGATATTAGAGTTAGAGCTTATCCTAACTAGATTTATGTTTGTTGGGCATACCATTCCACCTGCTATTGAACTGTTATCGTATCATTAATGTCTAGTCTCACACACGAGATGTATATACCGCGTGAAGGAGTGTGTAGAAAGTCTCATATCGACTAGAGATAAGGCTAATTTAGAGTATATAAGTGGATGCAAACCTCACCTTACAAGTCAATTTTGTGAAGTTGAGTTATACTTAAAGTTCACTTCTTAAAAATAACAAACATTATATACTAATGAAGATATATGTGATTATTCATCTAACATGTTAAGTATTTTAGAAGAAGACACTCAAGTTGAGGAACTTTTGTTTATCAAGTGTTAAGAAAGAACTAGACAAATACATGACATGTAGAGGAACTTTTATTTATCAAGTGTTAACAAAGAACTAGACAAATACATGACATGTAGATTCAACATGTCCTCATAAGACAACTCAACATGTAAAATGATTAGAGAATTCTATGTATCATACAATTCATCAATTGTTTTTATGCATTTTCCAAAAAAAAGTGTGTTAATTGTTTTAATTAGTTTGATTCTTTACGATTTTTCTAAAAATTAATCAAGTTACAATCATCTAAATATTTCTAGATAATCAAATATAAATCAAAAAAGATTTTGTAAACAAATAATGTCTCTTGAAACAAAAAAGTTTTAACTATTAATGCTTGATTTGTTTGCCTTAAAGTGTCTTAGTTTGTATTGTGTGAAAATAGTTTAAGACAAACTCAGCCCCTTCTATAGAACCTATGCACCAAAAAAAATTGTAAAAGAATTTGTTATCTTTGAATATGAACCTTTGGAAATAATTTAAAGTTCATATTATGTCACAACACACGTGGATTTATAAAATATTAAAGATATATTATATTAAAGTTGGCATAGTTA